CCCGCCCCCGTAAGAAGGATGAACACCTTACAAAAACTGAGCCGTGAACTAAAGCTGTGCACACACACAAAAAGATGACTGAGTTTTTAAAAGTTTAAAAAAAAAAAAGTTTGATGTTTGACAATTTTATTCAACTCCTTTATTTAACTCATGATTGGGATACTTGATGAAAAATAAGCATGGATGTCAACACAAATTGGGAAAACAAGTTCTTCTCCATGATGCCACCCGTCCATGAGCGTTCGGATCGATTCAACCGGCAGGGAGAGGGCTGAGGGGTTTGCACGTGGTTTGGAACAGAGCCGCTGCAGATACAAATAACCATCCATCGTTTAGATAAACACGAGCCGTGATGTCACAGGACATCGTAGGAGCAAACGCTAACGGGTTACTGTGATGGCTTTACAGAGCAACGGCAGAAGCCCGCTGCAGTCCCCTGAAATGTTCATCCTTCTGACCTCAGCAACATAGTAACCTTCAACCTGCTGGAAATGTGTTTGTTTGTTTTGTTTTTTTTCACCCAATTAGACACAAATTAACACTGAAACAAAAAAAAGACTAAACTTTTGGAATTTAGACTTTGTCTTGGCATCACTCCCAAGTAGCTGCCTATTTTTCAAGGGACTTGCTGAGATCTGCATGCTCTGTAAACATCAACAGCGTGGTGTGAAATGCAATGATGAGCTAGCGCCCACAGAAGGGCAGAGCTGGTACTACACCCCCTCTCCCACCCATCCCCAATGTCCCTCAGTTTACAAGAAACAAACAGGAAATAAAAAGATTGAAGAAAAAAAAAGAAAAAAAAAAAAGAAAACCCCCCACCCCCCAATCGGGCCTGGCAGCACGCCACTGACTTCAAGTGTGTGCGTGTGCATGCTTGCGTGTGAGGATCAGTGTGTGTGCGGCCGTGGCCGCCAGAGTCTCTGAGAATATGAGAGGACTGGTGCATGTGTCTGAGTGTGTTTGTGTATGCATGTGTGTGCGTGCGTGCTGAGGCTCCATGGGGGTGAGGGGGACTCCTAGTATTTCTTCCCCGGGACAAACTCCTTTGCTTCAGGATTCAAGATGCTCTTCCTCTGCAGAGAGAAGGAAAAAGAATAAAATTACTCATTTTATCAAGAACCGACAAAGTGAGCGGAGCGCAATCAGACGCATCTGACTCACCGCCACTTCCTCCAGGTTGTTGTGGTGATCGCTGACCGACAGGCCGTTGAGCTGCTGCTGCAGCTGCCCCACCCCCTGGTTGTTGAGGTCGCGCGAAGGGATGAACCAATCCTGGTCCTCCTCCT